CTAATGGTTAGAGAGTCGGACTCGTAACCCAAAGGTTGTGGGTTCGAGTCTCGTACCGACAGGGATTGTAGGTGGGGGGAGTGAATGTACAGCCCACTGCTCTGGGTGTGTGTTCACGGTGTGTGTGTGTGTGTGTGTGTGTGTGCGTGTGTGCGTGTGTGTGTGTAATTAAAAATTAAATTAAAAATTATTAAAAATAATCAAAAGTGACAGTAAAGACATTTATGTTACAAAGGATTTCTATTTCAAATAGATGCTGTTCTTTTGAACTTAAGTAATCAGAGTCCTGAAAAAAAAAAAGATCACTGTACCCATAAAAATATTAAGCAGCACAGCTGTTTTCAACACTGATAAGAAGAAGAAATGTTGCTTGAGCATCAAATCAGGATATTTGAATGATTTGTGACACTAAAGACTGGAGTAATGGCTGTCTTGAAAAATTTAGCATCACAGGAATAAATTACATTAAAAAAAAAATATTTTAAATTATAATAACATTTCACAATATTACTGGTTTTACAGTATTTTTGGTCAAATACTGTAAATAAAGTCTTGGTGAACAGAGACTTTTAAAAAAAATCTCACCGACCCCACGTTTGAACAGTACTGTATTTAAATTTTAACATTATCATTTTTGCAGTTATTTGGTTTGCAAAAATATATATTTTTTAACTCATATTGTTTGCAAATAATACTACTTATTTAAATAGATTTTTACCCAGAATTATTAGCTTAGGTCTACCATTCCAAAAGGAAACTATTAGTCATCATAAGTGTGTTCAGAAATGTATTTCTGTAAATATGTTTGAGTTTGCAGTACCTGTAATTCCCCAGATCTGTTCCCTTCAGCTTCAGTAAGGCAATATCATACTCCCAGCCCTGGCTGTGGTACTTCCTGTGGATCACGATGCGCTCAGGAGAAAGAGTGCGCTCAAAGTCATCCCTCTCCTCTGTGTGGTAGTCGCCAAGCCGCAGCACGTAACGGGAGGGGTCTGAACCAAACCTAAAAAAAGACATGTATATGCGCAGCATGTTTATTTGTTGCCTAACTGTCAGGAATGACAGACTTTGTAACAAAGTAAAGTGTTTGTCATTCTCTGTAGAGCCACTAGATATCAGTAGAGTCTCTCTCTCACCTCTTGAAGCAATGAGCAGCAGTAATGACCCAACAGGAATTGATGAGAGTCGCCCCACAAAGTGGATGGGTGCCTTTCGATTGAGACCTCAGCCACAGAGATACTTGCCACGGCCAGTCACCCCTAAATGACAGTCACAGATGGTTTAAAACACATGTGCCAAGTTCTAAAAAAAAATGTACTGCTTAGACACAAAACAAAAAAACAGTCATAGACCATCCAGGTAACCACACAGAGTATTAAGAACCAAGGGTTCCCAAGGGGGTTATTTTAATAATTTCAGCTATTGTTTTGTCTTGTGGACAATATGTAAACATATTTTATGTAAAATATCTTACTCAGGACAGTACTAAATAAAAAAAAACATGCATTTTGTATGATCTCTCTTTATTTTGTTAAAATTATTCACATTTTCACAGATTCTGCAAGGGGCTCCCAAACTTTCGCATGCCACTGTATATATATATATATATATATATATATATATATGCATGCAGTTATTTGATTCAAAATACAGTACAAATTGTAACGTTGCGCTTTTTTTGGGGTGATATTTTTATGGAAAGTGTGATGCATTTTTCAGGATTTTTGATGAAGAGAAAGTTCAAAAGAACAGCATTTATTTGAAATAGAAATCTTTTGTAACATAAATGTCTTTACTGTCACATTTGATCACTGCTGAATAGAAGTATTAATTTCAATAAATAAATAAACCTTTTACTGACTGTAATTTGAAATGATATATTAGGCAAAAAATACCCTTTACTTTCATTATATGGAAAAGATTGGGCAGCACATTCTTCAAAATCTCTTCTGTTTGCATTCCAAGGATGTCATATGGGTTTGGAATGACATGACATGAAATGATGACAGAATTTTCATTTTTGGTGAACTATACTTTAACTCAAACCCTGTTTGCTATCAAACACATGATTATAAAGCAAATTACATTTTCCTGTTGTAACTGTAAATAAACAAGCATTATATATTGTTCCCCTGTGACCACAGTACAATATAAGACAATAACAGTGGCAGCAAGCCAATAAACAATAAAAACAGAGATTAATAAACACAATGCACGTGTTACAATGTTAGTGAATAAAATAAACCATGTCGTTCATTACCGTAGAGACTTGTCTCCTCCAATGATCCTTCTCCTGCGCCTTTGTGTGTTGGGTCTCAAACCACATTCCTGCTTGCTCATGCTTCTGTACTTTACAGATTCAGTGGTGTAGTCACAGATGACCCCCGCGTCCTCACTGTGCCTGCAATCATGGGCGTCCGGACCCACAGCTGAACACTCCCCCAACGAAGCCTCTGTCCCAACACACTTCACATTATCCAGATGGATGGGTCCCTGACCCTCACCAAAATAAGCCATGGAGCGGGCCTTCGAGACCCCACTAAAATTGTAAAGGGGAAAGAGGAACAAATAAGTGTCTGAAGATGTTGAGATGTGTGTTTATCTTCTTTCATCACATGAAACATTCTTACACAAATCCTAGCTGTATGCAGACCACTCCAGCGTTGATGTCATTCCAACCATCATCACACACGCTGCCCCACTGGCCGTTAATAAAGACCTCTACGCGGCCCTCCTTACGGCTCTCGCCATCCACCAGCCTCACCAGTGGACCTAGAACCACAGCATAACTAGAAACAGCACAAAAAAGATGGACCTCTATATACCTGGATAAGTAGTGAATTATATGATTGAGAATAACAAAATTTACAGTGTAAATTCCTTGTCTTTTTTAAAGGGTGATGTTGTGCAAAATCATATATGAAATACCATATCATACCATATATGTGACCCTGGAGCACAAAACCAGTCTTAAGTCGCTGGGATTTATATGTAGCAATAGCCAAAAATACATTGTATAGGTCAAAATTATTGATTTTTATTTTATGCCAAAATCATTAGGATATTAAGTAAAGATCATGTTCCATGAAGATATTTAGTAAATTTCCTACTGTAAATATATTAAAACTTAATTTTTGATTAGTAATATGCATTTCTAAGAACTTCATTTGGACAACTTAAAAGGCAATTTTCTCAATATTTTGATTTTTTTTGCACCCTCAGATTCCAGATTTTCAAATAGTGGTATATCGGCCAAATATTGTCCTATCATAACAAACCATACATCAATGGAATGCTTATTTATTCAGCAATTTCGAAAAATTGACCCTTATGACTAGTTTTGTGGTCCAGGGTCACATATTAGAAATATATCATATATTAGGTATTTAATTGGCTATGGGCACTCTTGTTATTCGGTACTAGAATTTGGTGCCTGATTAGAAATGACAGAAACAGTTTTATGGTATATTTATATATATTTAATAATTAAAAGTGTTAATTAATGTCTTTTAAATGTCATATTACATATCGCATTATACTACTAAATCTAAAAAATTGTCAATTTTAACAGTGGTTTTCAACCAGGGGGCCGGCACTCACTAGGGGGCCTCGGCAAACTTCCAAGAGTGCCTCGAGATGGATTAAAATGATGTAAATTAAGACAAAACAGCACATTATGGTAACAAAGATTTACTGTTTGTCATAGAGCAACAAATCACTTTCTGATAAGTGCATTAATTTCTACATCATGTCCTAACCATATTCATCAACATACAACATGTTTTTTTTAATAAGCTACATATAAATATGCATTTCATTATATGTACGCATATGTATAAGCATGTCATTACAATATAAAAGATGATGCCTTCTAGTATCCTATTTGTTTTGGAGGGCTTTTAAAAGCGTAAAGTGGACTTGTTTCTTAACATCTGGTTCAGATATTGTGCTACTCTTGATGATGATAATGCTAATAAAAGTTTTTACATAGAGTTTACACACCTGTGGCAAGAGCCACTTCAGGGATCTCATTGTTCTGTCCTTCTCTTTCACAGCGTATGCCCACATCCTCACTGTGAGAGCAGTCATGCTGCCCCCACTGACCATGAGCACAGTCCAGCAGAGAGCTCTCTCCCCCTTCACATGTCACCTCATCCAGCAGGATCAACCCTGTACCCTCTCCATACATCCCATCTGGAGCCACCTCAGCTTGCCCTCTGTTGGACAAATAGCAGTATTGCAGCACCTAAATGAAACAAACTTCCCGTTCTCCTGAGACCAAAAGAGCGCAAATCAAACTTGAAATCATCTAGCATGCAAAAATATGCTGCTTTTAAGTAGCACATTATATGCTTACATTCAAGAATTATGTTATCAACCAGGCCAAATACATAGCTTACTGATAACCCAGCTGTAGACACACCACCTGGGCGTGACGTCCGGTCCAGTTGTCATCACACACTGTGCCCCATTCTCCAGCGTGATAAACCTCAAGACGTCCTTCCCATGGGCTATCAGCGCCTACTAGACGCAACACTCCATCTACAGCAGCATTAGCATGTCTATGTTTAATCAATGCACTTATACACACAAATAAAATGCTGATAAAAGTAAAAGGGTTTTTGGTCCTTGAAGTATTTTAAATGTGTTATCATAAAGACACAGTTGGCACAGCTTGTGTCACAGTCTGACACAGTTTGTGCCATCTTCACCTGAAAACGGGTTGCACGAGACTCCAGCATCCTCCATGTGATCACAGTTGTGCTGGCCCCAGGGCACATGAGGGCATTCCTCCAGAGACAGCTCATTTCCTGTGCAGTGCACTCCGTCCAGCATGATAGGCCCAGTGCCCTGCCCAAAGTGCGCCCATGTCCATGCCTTTGGTACACCACTGAAAACAAACACATGCCTGTGATTCATTCCCTTATCTAAAGAGTTAAGATACACTGCTGTTTAAAAATTTGGGGTCAGTGAGATGTTTTGAAAGATGTCTCTTACGCTCACCAAGGCTGCATTTATTTGATCAAAAATACAGTAAAAACTTTAATATTATTACAATAATATTATTAAATAATATAAACAGTTCAAGGAAACATGATACATTTTTATTACAGAGTTCTGTGGTGAATGCATCCTTGCTGAATAAAATATTAATTAAAAAATCTTTCTGACTCTAATCTTTTGAATAGTAGTGTACATTTAAGATCATAACAAGGAGGAAGAGAGATATAAAGGCATATGGTACTACTATATTAGTTTATTTATATAACTTTGTAATGATACTTACATTGCAAAGTCTTTCAAAACAATCATTAGTGATGTACAGAAGAGGACTGATGTACTGAAAAGTGTATGTTACACCACACGGATGGTGAAGGGTAAAATCAGTTGCTCTCTATCCCACTGCAGATTCCTGGAGTGAATCCCTGCACCCCATCAATCATTCATCCATTCATCTATATTAATAAAGTTCACTCGCTGTGCTAGTGCGCGTGTTTGTGTGTGTAAAAAGGACAGTTCTTATAGGCAGCACTGATTTGTGCATGACATCATTAGTGTCTCCCAGCTCTTGTAAATGCTTTTAGTCGAATCATTTGTGCAAAGTGTTTCTAAATTTTGCTAAACAAAAAAACAGCTCGGTAACATCCTGATGATGATACAAAAGCTTTCAAGCAACATTAGAAGACCTTGCAATAGATCAATATGTGCAGATCCTTGTACTAATGCTATAAGACACAGGTTTTTTCAAATGGAAAGCCATAACACAGTTATTGAATTTGATATTACTACAGTTTCATTCTTTCTAGTCTAAAATCAAATATTTCATCACAGTTTTTTCCATTGAAAAATACAATCTGTTTTTTATTTCAACATGTTTTATACATCTAACATTACTTTAAAAGAAGGTAGAAACAATAGTTGAAATAGTTTTTGCTTTAACACAGTGACAATATAAAAAACTTAAAAAAACAAATAAAAAACAACAACAACATTTTAAAAATATGTAAAAAAAAAAATTTAATTTAAATTATTTAAATTTATAAAGTATAAATTTATACACAACATAATATTTGACGTCCTTGGCATCCAAAAATTGGCAAACCCCTGCTGTAGGACATACATATGATACTGATTTCTTACCCCAATCCCAACTGTCGGCAAACCACTTCAGCATCAATATCATCCCATTCGTCATCACAGATAGTACCCCACCTCCCATTATGGTACACCTCCACACGCCCCTCGAAATCCTCAAGGCCTCCCACGAGCCTCAGGGGGGCACCATTGCCTGAACAAAACAAAAGTCCAGTGAATCACTATTTCATTCATTTTTTCACTGCAGTGGACAATGCAAAGGACAAAATAATTAGTGTAACATTTGTAGGGTCACATAACCAGTCATAAGGGTAAATTTGTTTTTTGAATAGCTGAATAAATAAGCTTTCCATTGGTGTGTGGTTTGTTAGGATAGGACAATATTTGGCTGAGATACAACTATTTGAAAATCTGGAATCTGAGGGTGCAAAAAAATCCAAATACTGAGAAAATCACCTTTAAATTTGTCCAACTGAAGTTCATGTTCATGAAGTTCAACTAATCAAAAAGTAAGTTTTGATATATTTACAGTAGGAAATTTACAAAATATCTTCATGGAACATGATCTTTACTTAATATCCTAAAGATTTTTGGCATAAAAGAAAAATCGATAATTTTGACCCATACAATGTTTTTTTGGCTATTGCTAAAAATATACCCAAGCGACTTAAGACTGGTTTTGTGCTCCAGGGTCACATTTAACACTTCTTGAGAGCAGAAGCTTAAAACTCTTCTATATGCTCCAGTACGGAATCCCTTTTGCAAGTTATAGGCCTCAGAGCTCTCAGATTGCTTTCTCCTTCCTAATGTTTCTGTGTGAATAATTCACAGCTCTCTCTAAATATACCTGACCCTGTTCTAGCAAACCGTCCCATTACAACAGGCACACTGTTTATGACCCTACTTCTGTCTCTCATTAATTTTGTCTTCATTTAGCTCCACGGAAGGCCCTTCCACACTATAACACTGTTGAAAATATAGTTATTAGAGTATGATCAGCAGATAAAGGAAGCTCAGCTGTTGCTTTATGAACAGTGACTCTGAGAAATGAAATTGAGAGCATGCGACAAAGATAACTTTTTCTAACTTGCATTTCTTTATATATATATATATATATATATATATATAGTA